CTTTGTTCGGCGAAGAAATTAAACTTTTGTACTTACAATTTTTCTTGTTGAGGTAATGAGGGAAATGCTTCTGGGATACTTCGATTCCCACTTTTGGCAAACTTTCGTTTCCAAAGATGTTTTTTTTATGTCCTTCCGTTAGCAAAACGTGGCATTCCCTGTGAGACCATCAACTCGAAAAAAATTGGTAAGATAAGTTTTTCAGTGATATTGATCGCGTTGTCCGTGAAACCACAATAGAGTTCTTTCGTCGCCTGATCCACCAGATATATCTTCAAATATGGGTCTCGTAACTTCAATTCATGTATAACATTTCGTTTACGAAGCTCACTGGACTAGCTGAATCTACCTGAATGTTGAGAATTCCTGGTTTTCGTTTCCTGGGCCAATGTTTTCTAGTTTCTTCAATTCTTTTCCTTGGCTGTCATAGATAGTTGTCTTATTTAATACAGAGTAATCATGGTTATCGCGCTGTCCGGATTCCGACCATGCATGTATTACTCCACAGCATTCTCTATTTACAGGGTCGTTATTTACATCCGGTTGTTCCGAGGGATAATTACAATCTTTATTATGTACAATTTGGCTATCTACATTATTTACGTTCTTACGGCGTGATTTACAAAGTCTGGTGAAATGTCTGCCATGTATATACGATGTACAAGTTGTGTCCTTTGCGGGGAACACTGCCAGGTGTTCTTTAGAAAATGTTCCGCCGCACTTCATGCAAGTGTTGCTCCTTTCGATATTAAAAGTGAGTTCTCTTTTAATATTGAAATGATTAAGAGGTTTATTGGAAAATATCCGTTGGATTTAAAAGTACTCGTCATTTCCATGTGGTTTGTTCTACCTTTTTCGTCAATCAGGGTCTTGTTTAATGCCTCCAGAAGTAGTAAGGTTTCAGTGAGGAGTTTGCGTTGGATGTCCGAGATCTTCATGTTATTTATATAAGTGTCGCGGATCCATTCGTCTTCTCCTGCGGATGTATTACATCTCTTTGCCATTTCTGCGAGGGCTCCCCAAAATTGTTCTAACTCTTCTCTCTGTCTCTCTCTCTCTCTCTCTCTCTCTCTTTCTCTCTCTCTTTGTTCTATATTCAGTAACTTTTGTCTTTTGAATCTTACATTTGTTTTTCTCACGAACGCTATCGACAGATTTTCCCAGAACTCTTTAAAAGGATCTTTTAGGATTTTAACTCTCATGGACTTTTGGCCGAATATTTTCTTTCCTTCGTTTCCAGGGGCTAAATAAAGTATATTAAAGTTTTTCGTCGGCCTCTTCGAATCTCATGCCGTTGAATCTTTTTGTTTCTGACTTTATTGAGGTCATTTCTTCGTCGTCGTATCTCTTTTGTTCGCGAATGTTCCTTTCCAACCGGGATGTTTTTTGTGGTTCTGTTTCGCTCCCCGCTGGATTTGCCAGAAGTGGGGGTGTGGATGATATCGTTCTGTCGGATTTAGCAGATTATCTATATCGACATTTTCCTTTGCAATTATTGCTAGTTGAAATAAGTCGCTCCACTCCTCCCAAGGAACTGGTGGGTCCACGTGTGGTTTTGCCAGAATGAGGGTAATACTTTTACGTTTGATTCGTAACTGTTTGACTGCGCCATGATAAAATGTTCCTTTGTTATAGCTAATTCTACTTATGTACAGATAAAAACGTGTTTAAAAGTGAAATAAGCTCAAAGTTAAAACATTAAAAAGTGAGCAGAGCATTCTCTCCGCCGGAGAGATTGAGCATATCAAGGTCAAAGCTAAGTAACCAGTTATGGTAATTTACAGATTAATTAATAACTAGAATAAAATAGTGCGATTCACGACAGTAATCAGGGTCTTTGTCAATGGTATCCAAAAACTTTGAGAAGATAGGTAAAAATGAGTATTCCGATTTATTGAAAATGCTAGCCATACACTTTCCATATCTGAAAAACACCAATCCTAAACTTTTAATGAAATTTTATGTACTTATTGACATGCATGAAAAATGCATGACTAGCATTTTTCCACTTAAAAAATTGAACGATTATGATTTGTTATTAGCCCGGGTCGTCAACCTGAGTTTTTTGAGTATTTCTGAAAAACGTTTGCTTGAAAAACAGCCTAGATTCGTGATAAGAAAACTCAAAAATATAAGACAAGTTATGGTTTTGGCATTGCAGAATCCAAAATTAGAAACGTAGAAACTTTTTGCTATCTTTTTGTCAACGACTTCAACTATATATTTCGGCACTGATGTACTTGGGCACTCTTTTACTGCCCTGTCTATATAAATGGCTGAGAATTTCACGTACAGTTTATTAGTATTTATTACCATCAGTAATTGACCGTTTAGCTTAGGGTTAACCTGATGCCCTGTTAAATTTGAATTTGAAGGTGATTCATGTTCATTGCGCCATTTGGGTTTATTTTTATCTCACTCGTTATATTTTTGGGGGCTATTATTATCACCGAGGGCGTTGAAAGATCTAGGATTTGTTAGCGGGCATGGTTTCATTGTTTAGTCGACCTTCTACCAATTGAATTTTTGAACTTTGTTGAAATGATCAAAACACAAAGTTTATTATAGAAGTTTTTGCGCCGCGTGCAAAGAAAACAAGATTGCTTGTATCAGGGCAAAGCCTTAGAAGCACCTACTGCCCTTTAACTGCTTTTGAGCTGATAAAATCAAATTTAGAGTGTTTAAGTTTTTAGTAATTGTGAGTTCCATTTTTTTAAAAACCTATTAGCTCATTAAAAGTTTTGATAATTTTGTGCCACATAATAGAACAGATCCATATCAGTAGAGCAAAGTAAAACATAAAAAATAGTAATTTTTCAAAATAATAATTATATTTCTTCATTTTATCCTCTGAAACGTTATGTAAAGTAAAAAGGATGTATTGAGAGTCTGTCTTGTATCTTAGTAAAAAAAAACAAATGAGCGGCCTCGATAGAAATTGGAACAATTAAATTCGTCGCTTACGCGTCGTGTAATAGGAGCGCAAAATATTTCGCGTTAATTGTCCCATATTGATCATTACAGAAAATTTCGAAGCTCCGAAATTTTATAAACCTTTATAGGAGGGTATTTTTTTCTTCTATATTTGAGCTCAAGAAACAAAATTTTTCGGGTACATAAAAAACAAGAAAAAAAAACAAGAAAAAATCTTTGATAGCTTTCAACAACCAGAATTGAGGGGTCAAAAAAGATTGATCCTTTCGTGCGCTACTGAGATTTAAAATTCGAACAAGACTCCCAAATTTTTTCAGCTTAACATGTATCGATCGCTTTTTTCCCACATGTAGTGTCGCCATTTCAGAGCGAAACAAAACTTCTCCTAAATCAAGTCGAAGCTTTCAGTGTTGCGATTGTACATAAAGTCCAACTTCAAAAAGTTTCGCTTGAAAATTGAACGAAAACTGAAGAAAAAATTTTAAATCGTACATCAGAGCGAGAACCTGGATGTTCTGACTGCACTTTAAAGCCAATTTAAAAAAAATTGCGAACCAATTGGGAAAAAAATGAAAAAAAAAAATAGTTTTGTTTTGGTTTTTTTTTCAATTTAACAGCCCAAACTTTATGTAGAATATAATGAGTGCATCTAGCGCCTCGTAATAATAAAACAACAACAGTTTGCTGGCCGCATTTTTCTTTGAAACGTGTTAATCTGCGTCTTGCATGTGTATTAAGAACGCAATATATCGCATTAATTATTCCAAATTGTTCAAATTTGTAGTTTTCAATTTTCGAAACAAAGATGTTAAATTTGTTTTTCTTAATTCAAAAATCAAACATCAAAAAATTTCAGATGATATGAAAAAAAAACCTCGAAAAGTACTTGAAAAGTCAAAAACTGTCTGAGTAAACAACCACCCCAAGCATAAACACGAATAAATATACGGAAATTCGTCGGAAAGTACTTGAAAAGTCGAAAATTGTCTGAGTGAAAAAACAACCCAAGCATAAGTAAAACCTATGTTTATAGGGCCGAGTGATGTTTCATGACTTGCCTCTTTCAATTTGGAACGTTTAAGCTCGCAGCTTACGCGTGCTATAGAAATGCAAGGTACCGAGCGTGAGTCGAACCGAATCGGCCAAATTAGCAATTTTCAAATCCTTATAGCCTTACAAAGAAAACCACAGGTATTTGTACTGTTTTTCAAAAAAGTGACGGAATATTTGAACATTGTGTGGTTTTTTCTCCAAACCAATATCGATTTTTTCATTGGCCAGTTGTGAACAAAATTTCTATGCCATCTGAACGGTATGGGCGTACTGTGCTGAAATTTGAAAAGATATTTTAGCTGTGACCTTTTTTTAAGTTCAGAAGTTACCAATTTGAGTAATTCAGAAGTTACCAATTTGAGTAATTAAAACAATTAACGCGCGAGATATTTCGTTCTATCAACGCGCGTGCGGCTATTAATATTGTGGCAATACGCTCACAAATCGTTTCAAACGGAACTAAAGCGAAACATTTTGTGTATTGATTAAGTTAATAAAAGCTAAGAACATCAAATATTGGAAGAGGTCCAAATTTTTTTCAAAAACTATTTTTAAAACATTGAAGAGCAGTCGGAACTTTCATTACTTTGCCCTGATACAAGCAAAATGGTTGGGGTTGGTTTAGAGGGGCTTTGGACTCCCCTTCAGGGATTCGACCCCTTACCAACCATATTACTTTATGACACCAATCCATTTTTGGCAAAGAACGATAAATTTTTTAAAGGTGCCTTCGTCGCCAATGATTGCCAATTTTGAAGGGAAGAAGGCGCCAAAATAATGGCACTTCGACCCGCTTTTTCAAAAAATTGGCATTTTTGACTAATTTCTTACCGGTTTTTTCGGCTTTTTTCGTCGCCTGCGAAGCACAAAATTTTGTTTATATACGGCCTTTTTACTGTTCTGGGTAAGCCCGGAAAATCAATTTGGAAGACCTGAAAAAAAAGTTGACAAAGTTTTTGAAAATCTCCCACTAGAGAAAATGCTAGATCCTAAAATCCTAAATTTGCTGAATAAAAAACCAAGCATAAATATTCCGTCACACTCTTCGAAAGTCAGAACCAAAATGTAAAAGAACAGAGGCGGTGATATGCATAACAATTTCATGAATTTACTTTTATCCTGTCAACAAAGAAGCAAAAGAAGTTTGATGGAAAATTCCATCGTCCCTCAAATTCGAACTAGTCGTTGATCCCATTGTGCTGCTTCTAGTGTTCATATTGAAAGAATTATCGGCCGATTTGTTTTGACTGCAGCCTCCAAAAAGTATCCGTTTTAGGAGATGGAGGAGCTCCCGGCGAAACACTGAACTTAAATACCCATATGATACGATGTTTACCACTCCAATAAATGAGGTACTCAAGACAGGGTAAACTTTGAAAAACGACTGAACAAACTCATTTTCTGGTGCGCCGACGTTTAAATAGTAGAAGTCAAGGACGAAAATAGGAATAAGAATGAAAACATAAACAAACGCAGTCAGTGATAACTTCAGTGTTGTTCGAAGTACTTTCAAACTGAAGCTTGCGCCAATATCAAACCCATCGTTGATGGAATGTTCAAAATTTTCTTCCGATTTCCGTTTGAAAACAGCGTATGCTCTGTAAGCATAGTTTACCGTAAGAGCAAAGAACAACACGGCAAAAACAGTGACAGTGAAAATATTGGCAAAGAAAATTTCGAACAGGACTTTACCGGGGCCAGCCATTAGACATTTCGTTCCGTCGTGTGAAATCTCGAATGAGAAGTCGCCTCGACATCCTTCAGCACCCGTACCTCCAAAATTGAATTGTTTTATTCCGTACGGGGGATGACCCGCAGTGATGAATATCAGCAGAAGACCGTAGGGCCAAATGATCACGTGACTAGCATTAATGAACATCTTTGAGCTTCCACCGATTCCAAGTCTCGGCTTGAGAGTCAGAAACACGTTAATAATTAAACACAAAGACCTAGAAGAAAAAAAAATAAATCAAAGTCAATTTTAGATGTAACATCATACCCGAATAATTTCGATGTTCTTTTTGAAAATCCCCCTCACCTCCTTGAGAAGATCCTAGATCCACCTTTGAACGGATCAAAACGCCGTTTCAACGGTCTCAACGCGTTTGGTTCAAATTAAAAACAAGTACCGCTAAAATTTAATATGCCTGCTTAGTCGACACATGAGATAACATCAAACTGTCAAAGTACAACCATAGATAGCCGAATCATTTTCAAAGGTTAAATGCTGCTACATTTCCCTTCAAAGGAAAACAATAAAGAAAGTTACCCAGGAGCTACCAGGATCTTACATTTTTGTTTCGCCTGAATATCATCATTTATTGCGAAACAAAACAAAGTAGAAAAATGTTACCATAGCTGGGACCAATTTCGCGTGATCAAGTGTAGCTGAGTAACCCAATAGCAGACATGAAGGTTTTCAGGGTATCCAACTAGAGTAATCCAGCAAGACAGGAACTCTGAACATACGTCAGATAACACTATCATAGCAATGATTTTCCTAGAGTTCAGGTTGAGCCGCTCGTTGAAAAAGGGCATCAAAATGAGAAATGGAGCGTGAATAAACGTGAACGCGCAAAATGGAAGCATGAATGCTTTGACAGTTAGGCTAATTGAGCTTGTGTCGTTTTGACTATAAAACTCGTTAGGGTCACAGCTCGCACCTGCCGCAACTTGATCCATTTTTATCGAACTATAAAATTGCCTTCACCACACTCTTGTATACATTAGTTACCGGTTAAAGTTGATTAAGCCAAAGTTTTAGAAATATTTATATCAAAATTTGTTCTCGGTACTTTTGAAATAGAGTGTCCTATTTTAGGTAAACCGGTTGAAATTTAAAAAAAAAATGAGCCTTCAGAAAATTCATTTTATGAACTTTATACCAATTGAATCTAATCAAAACTTCGCTGGATAGCGAGAAAGGAAATAAATGTGTGTTTGTAAATTCGAAAAGCCCAAAATTCATTGAGACTGAAGCGATGAAATATCAAATCATCATTTGATATTTTCACAAAAAATGCCATAAGCTTTAGCATCATAAACTTGATTGTCCAGATTGTTTAGGTCGATGCTATCGAAGATCACCAACGGCTTTATTACGCTGATGAATCTTTTAAGGGCGGGTGTTCAACAAACCGCCGTATCTTGAAGCCGAAATTACCTCAGAATAACGCAAATTGCATACAAAATACGTAAAAGTTACATAAGAACAGTGAAATTCTGCTGGTATGTTGCGTAACAATATGAATTTTGGCTCGTTGGATTGGTAATCTTGTTTTTGGTTTGTTGGCCCTTCGGCTTGTTGGCCCGTCACTTCTTTTAAATCGATGCTTTTAGGCATATCACGTCCAAAAGGCCAGTTTTTCTATAACTTAGCTATATTCGGAGCTCTTCAAATACACTCCGCCTCCGATCATCCAGGTCAATTTTCAAGCCCCGTTTGATTTTCTTTGCCTCTGATTCAGAGAGTTTATTGTTCTTTGTTACCACTTTTCTCGATTAGTCTACAATTAGTCTCTTGATTTCACGGTTCAACCGAGGCAGTGTCATTAGAGGAGGAAAAAACAAGTTATTAACAAGTTGAGTTATATGGAACCTGATCTAGACTACATTTTATGATTGGATAATTTAGATATTTTACCAATGTAAAGTATTTAATATTAACCAATCATGATCCATCTAACTAACAACCCACTTATTTGTAAGTGCTGAAGTTACTTGTAATTTCAGCACCAGAGAGATTTGAATTTAACTTAGAAATTAGTTGGACTCTCCCGAGCACTTCAGCAGCCGCAATAAACCAGTATACCCTAGATCTATTGAGCCTAGCAGAGACTAGTTAAACAACCTGAGACTAGATAGTATAAGAGTAAGATTAGGATCGGTATTAGACTAAGAAGTTGCACGAATCTATCCGGCCGAAAATAAGATAGCGTGACGAGCAGACGGTGTACCCTATCCGAAATTACTCTATGAGTTAACCAACTCGAACCTAACTCATCTGGTGCGACCATAAGTCTCGAACAAGACCTTAATAGCTTAGAATTAACCAAAATAGATTAGAAATTAGACAAAAACATTTAAAAAATGTTATACGACAATAATTTAATCGAAATGTCTCTACGACTCAATAGATCAGAGCCAATATTCCGAACCATAACAGAACTACCCGGAATTGGAAGAAGACCTCGAACCAGAGACGACATACGACAAAGTAGAAACTTGCCATATAGCTACATGATAGTTAGGCAAAAACCAGAACAAACTTTTATATTTAGAATACTACTAGCAATGAATTTAGATTTTCATTTGCAAACATAAAACCATGAAGTTAATCTTCAAAATCATTTCAGGCGCTAAACAAAATTATTAATATACAATAACGATTGATAAAAAGATCTAAGATCGTTTTCCTAAAACTCTGCAGTAATATACAAAACATGTTTGAAAAATATTTATTGAAAAATAAAAATAAAAATTAGTAGCATGACAATAAATGGTTAGTAATCATAAATCATCCTGTTGTTCCAGCTCCATCACCTAAAACATAACAGCAATCATAAACCCACTAATATCATCAAAACACTAAATCTTTCCTTTACACACATTTAAAATTTTATTAAAACTTAAATTCACTTAATTTTAAAACCAGATCATCAAGGCTTATCCTTGGATCTTAAATCATTTTCTACTTAATTAAATTTCAAATTTGATCATCAAGGCTTATCCTTGGATCAAACAGAACAACTTTGTTCTCCCCCACCCACTTAATTAGTGTCTAACGACCTCAAACGTCGATTCACTACCCAACCCTTTCTAAAGACCTAAGACTAATAGAAATTTTTGAACAAAACTAATCATTCAAATTAGGATAAACAGTGAAGAACTTCGGTTATTCATCCTTCACTTGACCCCCCCTCTTACCAGACCCAGGATAAATCTTAGACTTAGTAAGTTTAAAATAGTATCTAACGAACTACTCGCGTTCTAATTATACCTGAACCTTGTGGATCGATTTACTATTCTCCAACCCTTGAACACAATCACTACCCCTAAGTAAGATTAAGTAAGTTAACACCTTAACTTATACTAGCCACGAGAAAGTAAAAAATCATTCTTCGGAATCGATATACTTTTCTCTCCAACCCTGAACAAACAGACCCAGGTTAAGCTAACCAAAAAATCGTAAGAACTAACAGTTTAAGAAAATAGAAATCATTTAACAACCTTTTGCATCCGTCATCCTAAACCTTATGTCATTTAAAAACCTAGGAAATAAACAAACAATCGTTTTACACAATTGTGAAATAGATAACAAAAAATACGACCTTGTAATCACACCTCATACACAAACAGTTGGATACATTCGAACAAAACGACAAACACTAAAAAGAAAAATAATAACGAAACAAAGACAAATAACACGAAAAAGATTTTCAAAAAATCGAAACGCATTTTCAGAATCAGAAACCAACAGTTTAGACGAACTTTACAAACTAAAAGAATCAATAGATAAAAATTGCCCACTTCACGATCAATTATATTTTTCTGACTCAGAAACAACTTCAAATTCATCAAAAAGAGGAAAAAGAAGAATAAAAAAGCAGTATAAACACAAACCAGTACATTTATACAATTGGAATCAACCAATTCGACACATTAATAATTACATATTAACAGTCATCGAACGAAAAAATGAGCTCAACGCACACCCCAGGTGAAGAAAGTCCAGATGATGATGAAATCTTTCCTTTTATAGTAGATGCAACCACTGATAGAGGACAGCATATATTTTGCAAAAATTTACTATTAAATTTATTTGAACCCGGAATCAGTCCATGTAAAACAGAGTTCCCAGATGTAAAAATCAAAAGACAAATCATAGACCACTACTTAAAAGATATATGCAACATAACACAACAGTATGGAATCTACTCCATAGAATTCACCTCACCAAACCATAATAATAGAAAATATACAATTCAAACAGACGATCTTGATTTAGAATTTTCAAAAGTTTTTTCAGAATATATAAAAAGCATCCAATACCATAACTCACAAAGAGCAAACTCCATATTCACCAATGAAGTTTTCGCAATAATATATAGTTATATTTCGATATTAGAAAACGAAATCCCAATAACAAATGTCTCACCGACAGAAACATCTAAACATTTAAAAGTACGACATGAAATCACACTACTCTCTAGTTATTTAAACATCATTAAAGAAAATTTCACGAAAGACGACGTTTCACAACTTACAAAACACGATCTACAAAAAATTTTGGCATGGTTCATAATAGATTATTTCACACACAATATTGATTTAATTGCACAAGCAAGAAAAAATTTTAGACCCCAAAACTCGAACGATGATACCGCTATCACAGAACAATCAGATTATGTTTGGGACCCCGAATGGTCTCATCCCGCATTTATAAGCTTCCCACAATCAATCTCAAGTCAAGCAATAAGTACGATATCTTACATAAGAGATTATGTAAAAGTAATACCATTAACCATTGATGCAACACCATTAAACTATAATACATTTTTGCCCGATACACAAAATAATAGTTTAAACTCTACAGTTATACACAATGAAAACCTCAATGGAACTAGGAATCTTACTCAACAAGATATCCAGACACCATCACACTTCATAAATGAAGAAATTGTACACACAACAACTACACAACAAAGTATTTCACCAATACGCCCAAATTTAACAACACCAAGAAATACAAATCCTTCACAAACACAGGTAACCTTACAATCAACCGTTAAACCTTCGGTTGTTCCTAAATATTCACATATGGATTACCAAACATACAGACCCATGACAATACCATCAAAAACACACAAAACATTCACTAGAAACAACTTTGCAGACCATAATTATAATTATACACATCCATCAAAAACATATAACCAACCACAAAGAAATTTTAACCAATATACAAGATCTCGAAATTGGGATAACCCAATGACCCAACCTAATTCAATAAATTTCCAAACAAATCCTCCACAGGATCACAGTGAAAATTACCCATTTTTTCAACAAAATAAAAATAAAAAACAGACATCTTATCAAATGGATTATTTATCCTCAGATGATGATTTCTTACAACAAGATATATTTGCACCAAATACTCAAGAATATCGTAGACAAGGAATACAGAGAACACGTACAAATCATAGAAATTTTTCTCCACAATCAATAGATGCACAACATCAACAACCAATTCAACAACAAAATCTAATTAATACACAATCTTTTCAACCAATTCAACAACAAAATCCAATGACTGCACACTCGTATCAACCATCACAAATGCAAAATGAAATACCACTCCCATATTATCTCCAACAACATGAAATAACAAGAAACCAACTTTCAAATTTTTCTCAAATGCCAAATGCAGCAGAATCATTACAAATGACAATGAATCCATACCTTATGGGTGGATCATCAATAACATCAAACAAACCTTTAATGGTTTTCACAGGAACAGACCCTGAATACTCTGTAGAAGATTATTTAAATGCAGTAACAGCAAACCTGATTTTAAATATTGGACCTGAACCAATTAATACGCCACTACATCAAAACTGGATACATCGACGCACAGCGTTAATACAAACAACCTTAGATGGCGCAGCCCAAAAATGGTTTTCAGTACTACCTCTAGAAATAAAATCAAACTGGAAAAGGTTTACACAGGAATTTTCAAAAATGTTTGACTCCGAAAGAAACAAACAACAACAAAGAGTTTTATGTAATGAAATTCGCAGATTACCAAACGAAACCATCAAGCAAATAGCAGTACGAATCGAAACACTGGTTCGAAAAGCATATTCATTAAATACACATGACTATAAAAACACAAAGATGACAGAAA